AAAATAATTATGAATTAACTATATCTTAGACTTTTTTCTAAATTATTTATTTATTATGATTTTCTTATACAATAAAAATGCAACTGACCATAAATAAAAATTAATTAATAAATATCCATAACAAATCTACTTTTAGATATTTATTATGAAAACAAATTTATCTATTAATTTCAATATAAATATAAATAAAGACCATCACTTAATATATATCACAGCCACAACATTCCATATGTATTGCAAATAATATCACTACACTGCAACATTCCATATATGAAATTGAACACGGATATTCTAATTAATTTTTGATCCATAATTTGTAATATTTACAAAATTATTATACCCATTTAAACTATGGAATTTATGTGTTTAATGCTAAAATTATCTTGGACCAAAATTTGCTTCCAAATCTTAATAGAGTCTGAAATTTGGTTTGAAAAATTCTTATACGTGTTAAACTATCTTTGAAATTTTTAATTCATTTTTTTATTAGAGTGTGTGTCTATGCGAAAATTTTCTTCCTAAAGATTCAATATCGTACGATATGCTCATAATATCAGAAATTTATTTTGTTTAATCCCATAATATGCATAATATTATGCATAATAAAAAGATGGATTTTGTATAATCCCATCTGAATTTGATATGAATATTAATATTAATTTAAAATTCAAAATTAAATCGAATTGGAACATCATAAAAAATTGTGTTTTGTTTAATTCTTCAGTATACAATGTTGAAACTGATTGCATACACGTACACAAATTTTTTCCTTCCTAAAATTGAGTAATTTATTTAATCAAATGCGCTATTGTTGGTCCACCAAATCAGTAAAGATTCCTTGCATGAAGAATTTTTACAATTTTAAAATAATAAGGCTCTTGATATACACCCATTAGGTACGAAATTCTGACCGGATTATGAATTTGAAATCAAATAAAATTCATTTCTTTCCACAAGTTAAAAGTTTCAAAATATTTTATTTCAAATTTAAATTTGTTCATTTAGAAATATATAGAATCTTTCTTTACTTTCAAAAGTCCACCTAGATTATCTATTACTATATAGCAAGGTTACTTATTTAATAAATATAGTAGGTAAAATCCAAATTAATTTCTTTCCAACTTTCTAAATACTAAATATCAACTTTACACGTCATTTGATTTTTGTTTTCAGTGATTTCACATATGTTTTTTATTTTTCTTTTTTCAAGTTATTGCAAAAACCAGTTTCTAATATATCTCAAGAATGGTTCACTGTTGATTCGCGTAGTATGTATGAGCTTTTTAAAAATTAATACAACACATTATTTATTAATCTTATTTATTAATTGTTGATATTATAAAAAAATATTCTTTTCACTACTAAGGAGTTGCATTTTTTGTTTTTAATATATATTTGCATATAAAAAGATATATATAACAACAAATTGGGTCAAAAAATATATTTAATTTCAAATAAAAGATTTATACACAATAAACTCAGTTCAAAACACTATTTTTTTAATATACATACAAATATAATGTGTGGTAACTTTTTTTTTATTGTGAGTTTGGGACGTAAGTGTGATATTACAAATATAATGTGTGGTAACTTTTTTTTTATTGTGAGTTTGGGACGTAAGTGTGATATTTGTAAGTTTGACTTTTTTATTTACAAGTCATTGGCTCCTCTTAAATCTCAACAGCTGTTCAATGTAAATAATACTCATGTTTTAAACACTAATTCCGATAGATATAAATCATTCTTTGAAAATAATCTCAGCCCACTATTTCTGATATATACTAACGATTCAAATTTAAGAAAAAAATCTATATTTTATTAAGGAATACAATATCAAATAAAAAAAAAAAGAAAAAAGAAAAAATGGGCGAACATCTTCAATATCTTAACATATTTCTTATATAGTAATCGATTATCAGAGTTGTTTCTTTTAAAACAAACCATATTATATCTTTCATATTTCCTATCAATTGATTTACTACCAAAATTATTATATTTTAATAAATTGTTACACTAAGAGTTGTTAAATGTAAATATAGCACATCCTTTAAACACTAACCCCGACAGATACAAATCAATCTTTACAAATCATTTCAACACACTAATTGTGATATATACTACCGGTATAAGTTCAAAAAAAATTACTATATTTTATTTAGAGATATCATATCAAAAAAGAAAAAAAAAAAGATGGAAGATACAATGTCAAATGCAAAAAAAAAGAGAAGAATATCGCATGTTGACATGTTTTTGAAGAAATCAGTGTTCAGCCAGTCTGTTGTATGTAGTTGCTTCACGCGTACGAATCCTAAATGTGAAGATCATAATTTGTGGACAGAGACGGATTTAAATGAGGCTCAAGGGGGCCCATGGGCCCGCCTCATTTTTTTTAAGTATATATATAAAGAAAATTCTATAAAATATGTTTATAAATGCAAAAAATATTTATAATATATTAATAATTAACACTTATTTTTTATGATATTTTAATTTAAATTAATAATATTATTTATTTATTAAAAAATGTACTAAAAATTATTATATTTTACATTTTAAATAAATTTTTAAACTATTTATAATGATTTACTCATTCGATCTCTTAATTGTAAATTAATTTTGTGATTTATAAAACCGAGTATTTAGTTGGATTGTTACGTTTTTTAATGTTGATTTGTTACTTTTTTTTATAATAACATTTTTCAACTTTATTTATTTTATTCTTAACAAATGCTCATTTGATAAGCTCTCATTAAAAAAAAAAAAAATATGCCTTGTGCTGCAAATTTTCAATTTAAATCAAATTTTCAATGAAAAAATTTATTTTTTTCATAAATTATAGATGTTAACCTTATATTAAAAATTCATGAAATCTCTTTTTTTTTTGTTTTTTGTTTTTAGAAGTTTAAGGGTGATATGAATTTTAAGTTTTTAAAAACTTGATGCAAATATTGATATTTATATTTATAGTAAATGCATATTTATATGAAATGAATGTTTCAACTTAAACTACAAATTCGTTATTAGCATTAAAAACTAGGTCCCCTTGAGTGAAATTCATAGATCCGTCACTGTTTGTGAATATGATGATGTATCAGAATTCAAACAAAGAATGTTGTGTACAAATTGGTGTTTAATTATATATAAATATTATTTTTATATTTCAATAAATGCAATTTATCTTTTGAGTAATGATCCCATCATCTAAATCAATATGTTTTCCTTAATATTACTAGCCCGTGCATCGCACGGGTACAACACTAGTATTTTAGTACGACACATGTTACTTGTGCGACTTATATGTGTTATATTATAATAAATTTTCTACCTTATAACATATAACTACATTAAACATAAATATATTAATTGATAAATAATTTTATTTTTAATTAATTTTAGTAAATAATTTTATTATTATTATAAAGATAAATATAATTTATTTATTTTGTATATACCATATGGATGTCAAATTGAAGTTCATCAAAAAATGATTAATTTGATATATTATATATGTAAAACCGATAAGAAATACAAAAGTTATCAACTTTTAAAATATATTTGCAAATCAATGGTTATAATAGGAAATGATATTAAAATACAATTAATACAAATATTAATTTATATCCAAGTCTAACTCCAAAGTATGATTTTTTGCCAAATAGAAATTCGAAGCATGAGAATTTGCCACATAGACTTAGCGCATTCTGAAATTATATATAGAGGGGATTAATAATTGAAGAACATCTTCGTAGGCCAACTAGATTGACTTGGCAAATTTATTGGTAAATAACATAGTAATGTAGTAACATTTGACAACGCATGTATGATACATATACTAACATACAAACAGGGCACTATATCAATTATAGAAAAACAAATATGTAATTCATCGCATTATTCATGAGACGAACAGCTTGTTTGGAATCAGTACTTCTCATATAGACTTTTGGATGAAAAAAGTTTATTTAGATAAATAATTCATATGTGTTGATATGTTATAAATGAACTTAGCGATCGATAAGTTAATTCACCAAAAATGCCATTAATAAAAGTAAATGATATAAATTTTTGGATAATTCCATTTTGCAAAAGTCTATTTATTTAATACATGGACTGTTATAAAATTGCTCCCAAAGATTAATAATATATTACCCTCTTTTAAAATTTTATACTTCAAAAATCAAATCAAAGTTATCCCTATATATATATATTCGTACAAACTTAGTAAAATTAAATGGATATATCGTTTTCATTAAAAAAAAAACACACAATTAATAAAATATTAAAATCACATATATATCATGTTGGCTCTTGATTTAACTTTCTCCACACAAAAATCCTTGGTCCTTATGCATTAATAATAGTTGTTAAACGAAACAAGTCATTTGTAAATGTGCCCTCGAATTCGACATGTCTCATTCGATTAGCAAATCGACTTTTAACTCATTAAGAAATAAGAATTTGTTTGGTCAACATGCAGAGTTTGGTTTGACTTATTTAAGGCTCAAGAATATGTAGTGTTTAGTTTGGATGTGTTGTTTTCTGTATCTGGCAAATGATGATAAAATAGACAGGCACATCAAAGCTTCTCTAGGATTGGGCCGTTGGCCTCTGTTAACCTGGGTGTTACCTTTATTCTCCTGTGGGGAGCCAACACCTAGGCATTCTCTCTGAGGGGAGCTTTTAGTTTTGTGTTTGTGCTTTAGTTGTGTTTTTCTCCCGTGGGGAGCCAGTTTCTAGTTGTTCGGTGTTTGAGTTAGGTTTTCTTCTGGCGTTGCCAGCGATTCTAGGCGGACTTCGGTCTAGCCTCCCAGTTTGTAATTCCGCACTTTTGTGCGCCTTTTATATAATTCTTCTATCGTTTCGGAAAAAAAAAAAACTATNGGAAAAAAAAAAAAAAAAAAGCTCCTCTAGGACAAAAGGATGGCTTAGCCTAATAGAAATCTCTCTCATGCTAATTTTCAGATTAATTCTTAACGCGTGCTAGTTTATCAGTGTTTCCCTCAAATGGCTTCCCTCTGAAACATTCCAGCCACCTTCAGCGGCGGCGAGGCCATGCCCGCAGGAGAACTTGTAATGCGGAGAGGAAGTATCTTCAGCGGTAATGTCCGCTTACAAGTCCCTTCCTAAGAAAGGGAAGCCTCAAGGCCGCGAAGTCACTGTTAGTAGCTTCAGAATTATCACTTCGATTATCCAGATACCATTATTGCAACACTTGACACCGGTAAAGTTAAAATCAAATAAAATAAAAATCCAATCTTATTTTCCGGTGTTACTTTTCATGGTTTATTATGATCGCAATTAGTTTTTTTTTTTACCTCGCTTGATAAATATCTAACACTTGGGTATCTGGCCTGAATCCAAGAGCTTTAGCGACGATGGGATTGGTCCCATTCCTTCCAAGTGGAAAGGAATCTGTCAATTCAAAGGCAATAAGCAACACCTTTGCAATAGGTACTTAACATCGACTGTAATTCGTATATAAATTATGTGATTTTCATGATTTATGATACTAAATTATCTATCTATTGTGTTGCAAAAATTCTTGTTTTATGTTTCATGTCATATATATATCCAAATACTGCAACACTAATTCAAGAAAAGTTAATTAGTATTGTTATCATTCAAGTTGTATTCCAGATTAGGAATATTCCCTAATGATTAATGACTAGAAAGTAGAACAGTAACAAGAACAAGAGCAATTGGTTTATATCACAGTTCACCCAAAAGGCATAACATATAGGCACCCTTCAAAAAGAAAATGTTTGGTCAATATATTTTATATAGCAAATCTATCAAAAGGTGTTTCCTCTTTATTAGAATCTTGAATCGTGCTTGGTTTCTGAGTATTCTTTTTACCTTATCCACATATGTTTTGTTTGCTTATATATATTCTTCCAATATCAGTCACATGTATTATTATCGTCATCGTCATCGTTATCGTTAGGGTTAGTGTTAGTGTTAGTGTTGTTGTTGATTTAAAGTTAATGGATGTGTTGTGCAAAAAACTGATTGGGGCCAGGTACTACAACAAGGCTTATCAAGCCTCTCAACTCGTCGTTCCACAATGCACGATACTCGGAGGGCCACTGTGTTGTCTGGGGCCTCCATGTCTTGTCCCCATGTTTCAGGTGTTGTGGGCCTGCTCAAGGTTTATATATAAGTTTAAAGGAAAAGTAAGTTTAAAATAAATTTCAGAACTAGTGACAACCCATGGTGGTTGTCGAACTCTTGAATTTTAATTTGATAGTTTGTTGTATATTCACATCGACGCATGAAAAATCTGTTGTTATAGACAATTCAAAATATAATCCTGCTGTTAACACACTTTTAGGTATATCAAAATCTAGTTTTATGTATGAAAAATGAAACATTTTCTTTTTCTTTTTCAATTTTGGATTTGATGAGATTCATAAATCAAAACTGTCAGTACTCCTTTTGAGTTGGATATGCTGGGGACGGTTCGAACTTTGACCCGTTCGAGAGCTTAATTTAGGTCACATTGAATGTGCAAGCACTGTATGATAATTAGAAGAAAATTCGTATATTGTCAACTGTTATAGAATGCCAATTGCCATCAAATGTAATGAGACTTGCTATATTGAGTAATATTTTTGGCAAATATTTGAAAAATTTTGCCTAAATTAATGTACATAATCATTTTTTTAATGAAAAAATGAAAATGCAACAATATTGTGTGCCTGTGCTGTTTGTTTTGTTTTAGTTCTGCTTTATTATTGCCCCCTCATGTTAAACACTAAACGTGCTTATCATGTCGTGTAGTTAACGAGGCAAGCTCAGAAGCTCGAGTATCAGGTCGAGATTGGCTTGACTTGTTTAATGATCGCTGCATCGATGTATCTACAATTTTGTCACATTGTTTGCTTACACGGACACTGGTGACGATTATCTATATATTGTGAGTTGAGGTTTATATATTATTAAAATTTTGAAAAAAAATATCATACAAATATTTATACGATATTGTAAGGTCAGTGAGAGGAAGACACAAACACGTATCGTGGTCATCAAGAAGTAAGATCGATATTCACACGTGTGTTTATCTCCACAAACAATGTCATGAACTCTATTTAAAAATTCTTCATACGACAAACTTCTCAAACGCATAATGTTCATCTCTGCCTGTCCATTTTTATAGACATTCTCATACCAAAATCCACTATGCACAATTCCAACCTTTTAACACGACATCTATAAAAAAAGATACAAAAGTATTTTAGTGACAACAATGTCAAAAAAACATGTCTTATATATGATTCAATGACTTATATAATAAAACAAATAAAATTTGAATTAGAATCGAATTTTGGGATCGATTTCTTGTACCAGATATCATTATGGGATCTAAAAATAATTTCAAAAATCATTTTTGGGATTTCTGGGGTCCAAAAATTGTTTCTGGGGTACAAAAATCGTTTATGGAATTTCTTGCATTTCTGGGGTCCATAAATCGATTTCTGGTCCCAGAAATCCAACAATGATTTCTAGGACCAGAAACCATTTCTGGGATCGGAAATCGATTTCTGGAACCAGAAATCATTTCTCGTATTTCTTGGATTTGTGGGACTCACAGAAATCGATTTCTAGTCCCAGAAATCAATTTCTGAAACCAGAAATGGGAATTTCTGGGACTAGAAACCATTTCTGAGATCGGAAATCGATTTCTCGTCCCAGAAATCCATTTCTGGAACTAGAAATCATTTATTGGAATTCTGAGATTTCTGTGACCAGAAACCATTTCTGGGACCAGAAATCGATTTATGGGACCGAAAATTGATTTCTAGTCCCAGAAATCGTTTTTGTTTTTATTTTTTATTTTTTTGAAATAATAGGTAGTAAGGATATTTTTGTCTTTTCAGGTGCCAAAATGGCTAAAAAGAGTGTTGTTTGCAAAATGTGGCTAAAATTTGTGTTAGCCATTTGTATATGGCTAAAAAAAAAATTCAGTGTAAAAAATATGTAAACGCTAAAGCTCAGAAAAATCAAAATAGTACGTACCGTCAGCATATCTAATTTACAGGTGTCATGTGAGGTACTAATTTACAACAGGTGGAAAACAACTATTACATTACTTTTCGGCTTATAATATAATTCTGGGGAGCGAGTCACAAGACTCACAACTCACAAACTCACATGCATAAGCGGGAAATAAAAAGCAAAAAAACCCAGCAAACGGGTCACGGGTCAGTTAATTTTTATTTTCTCGCTCGTGTTTTCTTCTTCTTCTTCTTCTTCTCGTTATTATTATTATTATTGTTATTATTATTATTATTGATTATTGAGTTCTTGGCAACCATGGTTACATTAGGGAAAATTTTCTAATTGAATTTTTTGTCTGTTCGTTTGTCAAATATATAATTCTAATGGACTGTTTTCTTATTTTTTTTCCACCTTTTTTTTCCTATTTAATTGCTTTTTGTGTGGACAAATATTGCGGTTGATTTGGGAGTTTATTTAATTTTTCCTGTTTAAATTGCATTTAAAATTTCCTAAATGGGTTAGGAGCATTTATTGATTTTTTT